TCATAGCTGCAAAGTATTTAGATAAGTAGTCAAACTCCGGATTAGCATAACCTCAGGAAAATTAATCTTAGATATTTCAGAGGTTGTTTTTCTCGGAATAATGAAATTAATATCATATAATATTTTTAATCTTTAGTTTAAAGAATCGCTGCTTGTTTGAAGTGGAAGAATCAAAAACGTGCTTTCCTACTTCTATACATTAAACCTTTGACCCGATTAATTCCAGCTTTTGGCAATCATTTAAGCTTGAAAGTAGCATAGTCTTCCATTTAGTATACGTATGGTATGAAGAAGTGATCCACTCCATTTATTTAATTACCCTTTGCTCTGCAACATATGGTATTCTTTTTAATGTTCATTCAAATTAGATGTGCATTGGCCCTTTTCTATATCCATGCCTTCTTGTATATCTAACTCTATGGGTTATCTATCCATCAATATTGTTATAGGCCTGATACGTTGTCTGGCTTTACATAGTGTGCATACCTGGCTAGCCTCCGGAACAAGTCGCGGACACCTTGTAAGCTGGGACCTGCGCTACCAGCGCCCTGTAACTTTCGCCTGTCATCCACAATTGTCTCCACAAAGGCATGATGCTGCCAGCCTTCTGGCACTGCGAATCGTACAGCCCGGTCTTTATTATCCCACAGCAACAACGTCCTCCATTGCTGGATCATCCAGCCAAGGATCACAAGAACCATCTCAGCAGCCCCTGATCGCTACATCTACTTCGACGACTCCCAAGAACGTTTGGCGTGCAAATTGGAACATCATCACGGAAGGCGTAGGGCCTAATTTTCCTCCGGATACCTCAAGACTTCTTAATTCAGCCGGGCGACAGCAAATCTCTAATCTTCCTGGGGCTGCCTCGCATACACAGGTTCTGGTGAGTTCTCGGTGTCATACATTCGATTCCGTAACATTCAACTAGCGCTAAGACTAAATTAATATTGTGCTAAAACAAAATGGAACACACAAATGTTGACAACGATTTAGTGCTATTATTCTGATAAAGGTAGGTATTTGGGCTCCACGTATGTCAGTGCCTTTTATGAGGATACTATAGAAGCAACACAAGTATGAGCTGCAAAGTAATTATCATGGAACACGTCAAAAAATGTTACATTTGGTTGTACATGCTGTGCTGATTCGGATTCATTACACAGAAGTTAAAAGATTATGTGCATTTATATTTTCCGGGAGGAAATGTGGCATACAGGCGGCCTCCATTTATTGCGACATTTTGATACATTTTAATTCAGATATTCAGGTTGATGCAGCCCACGCAGAATCCTCCAACGTTTAGGGCGAAGATGGGCTGAGCTTTATTTTACTATGTGATGAACCTCTTCAAAGCTGGGACTCATTATTGTAAAAGCCTCAAGTTAACACTAATTCAAGAAGACTAACCGCTTTTTTTCTATATCATGTATATACCCATTGTAAGCTAACTTTAAGATATAGATGGATACAGAAAGGTTTGGTTAATTCACGTATACTTTAGTGTGTATGTATGCTAACGTCTGTGCGAAAAACCGGTGCTAACTTAGAATAATTACAAAAAGCTTAACATCAAACCCAAATCATCAAGTCTTAATGGCAAAAGGAAAAAAAGGCTTATCGAGATTGCCTTAGTTCGTAAGTGACCCTGGTTAAATTGGTGAGATGTTAGTGTGTACACGTGATGATGAACACGTGGCTGATGAACTTGACATGTTTTTTGAACGAGTGTTAACTTGGTTAGAGCCATCACTCAGTTGAAAAATTGAGCCGTCTTTATTTAAACGGCGGCTTAACACCATCCCTCTCTTTCAATCTTTCAATCAAGCATAAATAATTCTTACTCAACTTTCCACCACCATTCCTTAAATTCAATGTATTTCCTAATCTATTAATTTCAATAGCCTCTCTTATCTTGCGTTTCTTGGCATACATACCATAATCCGCAAACCTCATGCCCAGTCTCCGTCGTGTGTTCTGCCACTTCTGACCATTGGACCCAGGTCCCTTAATTGGCTTTTTTGTGCTGCGTTAATCTTTGACTGATTGGTCGATATGTGTTGCCAACATATGTCGGCCACCGGAGCACATAATCTTATAACAGCCGGATTTTGATAATGGGTCATATTTCTCTCTTATATAAGGTAGAACCGAAAAAAGTGTCAGAGTTTTTTTGAAGCATGTCTTTATCCCCAATTTCCTCACTATTTCTCCTATATTCTTGGAAAGAAAACATGATGGCAAGATTAGAACATGAGGAAGGGTCTCGTCTTGCCTCTCTCTGAGCAAAGTCTCTGTCTGAAAATTAAGCCCAAAGGATAATCATTCTCCAGAAAAAAAACTTTCACTCTTCTTAACTCTTGGATCAGATGATTTTTACCTTCAAACCTCATACTCCTATGCCTAACGATTTAAAAATTCCAACCTTAGATTTGTAATTATGGTTAAAAATAAGAACAAAACCAACATATGCTGGTTTCCTATAAACAGCTCTGCCTTGCTTACTAGCCTTCCTATTGACCATAGCTTCCATAAAGGGTAATTTCAAATTTTCTTCTGATTCCTTTATGAATTTACTTTATTTTTTACGCTGGTTTAGTGAAAAAAGGAACCTATCTTAACTTTCGGTACCATGCTGTCATATCACAAAATAATCACCCATATATCTAACAAACAGTTTAGGATTTAGAATTGCCTCTTGCATTAAGCGTTTCTCAAAATTAGTCATTTTCTTTATAACCATAGTTACAAAACTAAGGCCGGAATTTAAAAATCTATGATAATTGGAAGTATGAGGCTTGCAGATGAAAATCTTCTGATCGAAGAGTTCAACCAGGGTTACGCAATTTCCCAAATCCTTTTTTCTCTTTTCTTTTTCCCTTTTGTCATTAACCCCTGATAATCCGGGATTGATGTTAAGCTTTTTTTAGTTATTCTAAGTTATCACGGGTTTTGCGCACGGACGTTAGCATATATACACATACAGACACACTAGAGTATACGTGAATTAACCAAACCTTTATATATTCACCTATATCTTAAATTTTGCTCGCAATGGGTATATACATCAAATATAAAAAAGCGTTTAGTCTTCTTGACTTAATGTTAATTTGAGGCTTTTACAATAATGAGTCCCAGCTTTGACGATGTTCATCGCATAGTCAAATAAAGCTCAGCCCATCTTCGCCCTAAACGCTGGAGGATTTCGCGTGGGCTGCATCAACCTGAACGTCGTATTAATGCCAAACGGCCGCAGTACAACGCGAATCAGCCTACATCTTATGAGCTTGACCTATGAATCTCTTCATCATGTACTTCCATACGAAATGAAAATCTTCACATCAATCATATCTCCGCAAATTCTTCGAAACCCGCATTTTCTTCATATATTTGTATGTTCTATTCGCACTACTTAAGATGAATTCAGATGTAGTTGTTTTTCATCTATTTGCTTGGCTTTTGATGATATTTTTGCCGCATTAATGTTTTATGCTTGCCACTAAATCGTGCATACATTTCACCTCTCCCTACACTTAG